AAAATCTTAAAAAAAGAGAGAGAGAGAAAAAATAAAAGAAAATTAAGGGCCAAAGCTCAAACCAACAAACCCAAACACTTCAAAATGTAACAACACTCTACTAAAGAACTCTTGGGTCAGAGGGAAATGAAGGCTGCAATTACAGATCATTTAGGACATTGCAACAATAAGAACATTGTGTATCGACACTCACAAGAAAATGCCAAAGATAAATCAGAGCTAAAGACCATATTAACAGAAGAGAGGAAAAGTAAATGGACCAAAGATTCGAGCCCAGAAATGAGAAAACAAAAACCAACCAAACCAAAGAAAATTAGGAGGGTAGAAATGAACAAGGCCAAAACCATAAAGATTTGAAGACAAAAGAAAAAGAAAGAAAGAAACAAAGAAAGAAAGAAAGAAAAAAGAAAAGAATTGATATGTATATGTATAAGAGGTATTATTCTTGGGAAAAGAATAATAATATGAATAAATCACTGATCTAGAAAACATTATCATAGAATATTAAGAGTAAGAAAGGAGTTTGAATTTCATGTACACAGGATTTTTTTGGGGGGGGATGTTATAGTTTTAAACTAATAAAGTTTCAAATATCCGATGGATATATTTAAGAAGAACAGAAATTACAAGTTGAATTTAGAGTTGGAAAACTGAATGGGTAAATATGCAAAGAAAATGTTGCCGAGTGTGAGAAGCAGTGTGCTTAATGGTTAAGGATGTGGGCTTTCGAGCCAACTTGCCTGGGTGTGCACCCCAGCTTCACCTGTTAAGCCAATTATTTGACTTCTGTAAAATTCAGTTTCCCTAACTCTAAATTCCCTAACCCTAAATTGGATATAAGATGGATACAACAGGGTTGCCTGGGTGGCTCAGCAGTTTAGCGCCTGCCTTTGGCCTAGGGCGTGATCCTGGAGTCCTGGAATGGAGTCCCACATCAGGCTCTCTGCATGAAGCCTGCTTCTCCCTCTGCCTATGTCTCTGTCTCTCTCTCTCTCCATCTCTCATGAATAAATAAATAAATAAAATCTTTATTAAAAAATGGATACAACATCCATCTCCCAATTTTTTTGTTGTGCAGTCAATGAAACAATAAATCATCATCCTACTATGGTACTAACAGAAAAGTTCCCCCCAAAGACACCAGACATATTTATTATTGCATTCCTCCAAACTTCCAAAGAACAGGTATCTCAGGTGCTATATTAATAGTTTCAGGGCACACAGAAAAATGGAATGTTATACAGCTGACTTAACAAAACCATTATCTGGATGCACTAACTTGATGCACAAGAAAAAGACAAACTTTATGAGTATGTATGAACTAAATAAGACATATGCAAGGGGCGCCTGGGTGGCACAGTTGATTAAGCATTGGAATCTTGGTTTTGGCTCAGGTCGTGATCTCAGGGTTGTGAGAGTGAGCCCCCCCCCCTCCAGCTCCATGCTTACCACGGTGGGGGTGGGGTCTGCTTGAGATTCTCTTTCTCCCTTTCCTCACTGGCACGTACTCTCTGTCTCTCTCTCTCTCTCTCTCTCTCTCTCTCTCAAATAAATAAATAAATCTTCACAAATTTATAAATAAAATATATACAAATAGAATCCAGTGTTTTAATGAAAGACTATGACACCAAAATCAAATAAGAGAATTCCCAGAAAGAGACGAATGGCTCAGTAGGAGGAAATCTGTCAGTCTCTCAATCCATTTCATCAGGGGCCGGGCAGTTAACAGTGTGTTGACCTAGAAAGACTGCTTTTCATTAGTTGCCAAAGGAAATAAGACATGGCAGGGATTGGTGTTCAAGGTTGTTTGGTGTAACATTACTGAACTTTAAAACATTCTAAATATACAATAATAGGGGAATGCTTAACTACATCTATGAAATAAACATATAAGTTCTAGCTATATACTATAGACTATTCTATAGAAAAGACTATTGTGAAACCGTATAAAATATTTCAAGGAGGGACGCCTGGGTGGCTCAGCAGTTGAGCTTCTGCCTTTGGCTCAGGTCATGATCCCAGGGTCCTGGGATCGAGTCCCGCATTGGGCTCCCTGCGTGGAGCCTGCTTCTCCCTCTGCCTGTGTCTCTGCCTCTCTCTGTGACTCTCATGAATTAAAAAGAAAATCTAAAAAAAAATATTTCAAGGAATATTTCAAAATGTGAAAATATATTCAAGGTAGATTGTCCATTAAGTATAAAGGAAACAGATTAAAAGTAGTATATTTGGGACACTTATATCTGTGGAAACTGTATGTATTTATCTATGTGTGTATATCTACATATACATATGAACATTTAAGTTATTTCTCTTTGCTATTATAAAGATGCTGCAATGACTAACCTCATACATTGGTTATTTTGCACAAATAGGATCAAATCATCGTATTTTTCTCCAATTTTAGAGCTGACAGCTGATTCTCACTTGTGCAAAATGACAAATGCAAAAGGTAATTCATTGTTATATTGTGTGTGTGTGTGTGTGTGTGTCTGAATGTAAACATACACATAGTAATTTACAAGGGGAGAGAAACAAAAGAAAATATAACAAAGTGTCATGGTGGTTAGTTTAAGACAGTTTTAATTTTCTTCTTTGTGATTTAAATTTCTTTCCTTAATTGAATGTTAGCAAAACATTCAAAGTACTGATTCAAACAAAAGGAAAAGCACTGCATTTGTAAACAAAATATCTAAATGCAAGACCTCTATCCTACTTGCAAACTCATCTGTAAAGAAAAAGTATCAGGACCACCTCAAATGAGATATTTAAAGATTTTTTTTTTACCATTTGGAAATTGGTGGCCCAGTAACATAGATTCAGATCAAAATCAGTATGAATATTAGTTTTCAAAAATGTATGTGTGTAGCACAAAACACAGAGCACAGCTGGTGACCAAGAATGACTAACTAAACCTGAATCAATGCCGCTTTCTTTTTATATGTATATATAAATGTATTTTTTATTGGTGTTCAATTTGCCAACATATTCAATGCCGCTTTCTTCGGTGGTACCTAGATTCTTAAATGGAAGATTAGAAGTGTTCCTATTTGTGCAAAATAACAAATGTATGAGGCTATTCATCGCAGCATATTTATAGTAGCAAAGAAAAGGAACTTAAATGTTCATATGTATATGTACATATACTCTCCACCATTCCACCTGGGCTCTTCCATTTGTTGCAACTGTCTCTCTGATGCTGCCATATTGCCTAAAAACAAATAAACCAAAATAAATAAATAAATAAATAAATAAATAAATAAATAAATAAATAACAACAGAAAGCAGTGACACCGGTTTTCTCCTTGCCTCTGGAAGACAAGCAAAAAGGGAAATATATATATTCTTTATCTCCCTTCCTGGATTCTCTCCTCTTGCTTAAATTCAGGTCTGGTGTAGAATTGATACAACCTTTGGAAAATGTTTTTCCCCTGGATGTAACTTCATAATCTGTTTTGGGAGGGAAGCATACTGTGATGTGAGAAATTCTGGCTTGCTGCTCAAACCCACGCCCCCATTGGATGGTGTCCATGACTATTTAAAGAGGATGGTCTGAACCAAAGGAATGACGTCATGATGATTCCATGGGTAGGGGAAATTTTGCCTAGTAGGAGTACCCAGTGTCTTGGAAATGGATAGGAACTAGAACTAAGAAGAATCTGGATGAAAAGATAGATCATGGGCCTGGGTTTCAGAGGTGGCTATAAGAATAGGATTTGGGGTCTCAGAGACGGTAGGCAAAGGGAGGGAAATGATGGACTATGACTGGGGTTCTACATTGCAAGCCCATGAAACAGCCAGACATAGGCTTGACCATTGGACAATAAAACGATGAGAATGCTCAGGTCAATTTGGGACATGGTGGTTTGGGCTAAGGGCAGGAATTTCAACGCATGTCCCTAAGCTGTTTATAATTGAACCCTACAGACCAGATGGACCTGGAACGAGAGTTGTACATTTGAGAACTATCAGTGTGGGCAAGAAGGGAGAGCCTTTGTGAAACACCAGTATGTCGAAAATACGAGAAGAGAGAGGATCTGGTGAGGGAGCTGAATATTCAGCAGCCAGAGGCTTCAATGCCAGGGGTAGAAAAGATGGTTTCAAAAGCAATACGTAAGGAAACAGAAGCAGATCTTTGAGTCTCCAGAGGATGGCATGACTGTAAATCATGGTTTAGATAAACTAAAGCAAGGACTTCATGCCTCCTTTTCCCCTTGTTTTAGTTGAAATCAGATGCAAAAAATACAATGTTGAAGTAAAAACACAGGGCCGAAGAGTGCTTTTGTGGCAAAACCACACCTGCATTCAGTTTTAGGAGCCCTTAGAATGCCTTGGAACTCTGGGCTTTGGCAACTGGGACTCTATTAATTTTGTGACTTGTTCAATCCAGGTGGACTTTGCATTTATAACAAAAATAAATGCTTTCAAAATGTTGGGCTGTGTCATTGAGAGGCACAGAGCCTATAACCCAGGGCTCGTGATCCCAAGCAGTGGACAGTTCACATCAGCTTGCCCCATCTTGGGCTGCACTCAGACATGTGTAAACAAAGGCTCAGGACAAACCAAAGCCCCATAAAGGGCATCCTCTTCCTGGCTAACCCCACCCTAAAACACTCCTCCCCCTAAAAGGATCTACTTCCCCAACCCAGTTCCCCACCCCATGCATATCTACTTGCCAAATGCCCCTTAATCTCCAACCTTCTTCTCCACCCACCTCCGCCCCCAACAAACCTCTGTTGCCGGTCAACCAGACATACAGATGTGGGTGGGTCTCCATGGTGACAGAGAAGGAGAGAGATGCCAATAGCAGAGGAAGGTTCTATGCACCCAACACACTGCCTCCTGCCCTTCACATTTCCAGGGCATCAAAGGGCCCAGGCTTTGCAGAAGGGCTTCCTTGGACTCAGAGAAGCCTAGTAGAGGTCAAGAGAGGCGCTGTTGTGTGGGAGAGACAATGGAATGCCTGAACTCTTCTTTAAACATCTCTTTTCTATGATTTCCAGGTGATCATCAGTATAACCATCCGATTTTAAGCAGTGCTGCCCAGACCCCTACACATGGTGAGAGACGGCTGTGGGTGCTTCACATTCCATCCCCATTCTTACTGTCTCCATCCTGATGACTGATGTCCATCAGGCATCAGACATATGGTCATGATTCACTGAAGCCCAGGAGGTGCAAGGAGCCCATGATGGCTCAGTCCCATGCTTAGACCGTTGTCCCCTCATGTCCCACCTATGGAACTGGAGTGATCTTCCACTGTGAAAGGGAAGGAGTGAGACCCTTCCCTACCCCATTCTCATGTGCGATCCAGATCACTTCTTGCAGTCATAAATTCCGTATGTTCACAGCAAGGGGTGAGCACTCTCCTTTGCCCAGGGCTGCTCGTGGTACCATTTACTAATAGCATGTGACTTGGCATACATTCTATCAGTCCACCCCAGGCCAGTTAAGGTTTGCTAACATTCAAAACCAAACTGGGGGACCTGAGCGGTAGCCCCTTGGCAGGGTGAGGAAGCAGCAGGTTGTAGAGCACAGGAGCAGGAGCATGGCTCCAGAGGTTTACAAAACCACGCTTCCTTCTCATAACCTCCTCCTGCCAGATTGCAACTTTAACATCTGGAACTGCAGAGGAAAACTATTTTTGGTACCTGCTTGAAACTTGGTAGAACATAAGACAGCCATGTAAATTACGAGCTATCAGTCATCCTTCTGTCTTTGCTCTGAAGGAGTGAAAACATCATTAAATTTTAGTGAGAAAGAAACTCAAAGATAAAATCTGCAGCTCGCTTGGCAGAGAGATCGACCACTCTCCTGGGAGATCATACTCTGCGTCAGCATTGAGGTGTTGAGCATCATAATTAGGACAGAACTGGACTATTCTGATGGCCCCCCCTCTAGGGCTAGGCTCCTAGTGGAAATTTGTGATGAAAGCGATAGTTTAATAATCCATTTCCGGTTGCGGGATCTGGGATAAACCAGAACTGGAAGACATTGGAGATCAGTTAAGAAGGAGCAGGTTACCAGCAATGATGTGGACGATGGGAAAAGACAGAAGGTTCAGATATGAAACGTGGTGGAGAAAATGTAGTGACTCGCTGAATATGGCTGATGAGAGTCAACTGTGAATAAAATGGCAAGCTATGATCAATGAGAAGAGTGGGGGTTCTTTGGGACACAATCTGAAGAGGTAGGAAGGCAGCTAGGGCATAGAGGAGAGGAAGCTGTCAATGGTGAATTTGGATCTGGACCTCTAAAACTGGAGGGGACCATAGGGTAGTTAAGAAAAATGACTCAGCAGGCATCTAGAAATGCAGACATGCAGTCTGGAGTCAGGTTACGGCTGAAGATGTAAGTTATGCTTTGGAAGCAGGAACAGACGCCCTGGGAGTTGGGGGGGGGGCGCATTTTGTGTGAGAAGGCTGAAAGAGAAAAGCAGAAGGCAGAAGCCGAGAGCCTGGGGGATGCCCATGGTGATGACGCAGCTGCAGGAAGAGGAGCCAGAAGAGGCAAGCGAGGAGTGCTCTGCTTGCTCCTGAACATTCTGGAAGGATAAGTAGCAGCTGGTTTTCTCCAGAAGTGGCCAACACAAGCACAGCCTCCTGAGGACAGAAAGAAGAGCCATTCTTCCCTGTTCCTCTCCCTGTCTTCTTTTTTCCACCTGTTACAAGGAGGTGAGGGTAGATAGATCTAGTCCCTGACCTTGAGCAACTCACAGCCTGGTAGAAGCAGAGTTTTCTCTGTATCTGTTTCTTGGAGGCTACACTTTCCGCCAGGAGCTAGCAGAGTGACTATTAAAGGGGAATGTGTCCTGTGTCAACTTGATTAACCAAAGAGCATTAACTGGATCCTTATTTAGGGCCAAACACTATGGAGGCATCAGACCAATTAGAAAGCAAGTTTTTGCTGTCAAGGATATGGCCATCTTTGGCGATCAAAAAGACCGGCTCAAGTCCAATGATTAGAGATCACATAGGCACTCAACTGGGTGGGATTGCCTGGAAAAGCAATAGGGGCTTGAAGACCAGATATCACCACGCACTGAGAAGATGTGACATTGCCATAGCGAAGAGTCTTGAGCGAAGAGAGAATTTGGACAGAAGATGAGTAAGGAAGGGCATGGCACTAGGAGAGAGCGCATGAACAAGAAGACAGGGGTAGTCATGGTGGAGGCAGAAGAAAAAAAAGAGCTGGCCTTGGCTCAGCAGCATGAGCTGAAGAACAGTGGGGCGGGCGAGGTGGGGGTTGGTAAGAGCATCCAGAAATGTTGCATTTGGATGCGGGTGACCTGAGCTGTGCCCTCAGTGGGAATATGATGCCAACAGGGAGAGGGGAGCTTCATCCTCCCCAGCATCACCAAAAGTGAAGAAACGAGAGCTAGGGGACTAGTGGCTGTTACCCAACTCCGATAGCAGTGCTCCCAGCTTCCTGCCCACTCCACTTCCTGGCATCTGTCCCGATCCATGCCAGGGAGGCTCTTCTGTACAGCATGTTCTGATCTCTCGGGGATGTAGAGCGTCCCTCACCCCCTCACATATGTACCGAGCTGGCATGAACACCAGCTTGTTGGCTGGGCTCCCCTAGCTTCATCTCCAGTATTTGGGGGAACCAGTGAAGGCAGGAAGGATAGAGAAGCTGGGAGTTCCCTGTAACAAGGCTGCCCTTGGACCAAGTCTAGCAGTGCTCCTCGTTGTCCCCTACTTCATAGAATCCCTGACTTCCAGAGTTTGGCATTCTCTTTGCCAAGAGGCAGGGGGAGCCACAGCCTGGCCCTTCTTGGGGGTCCCAAACCAAAGAGGAGGGAGGGACAATGAGAGAGCCACCTGCCTGCCTCATATTGGGGAATGGTACCACTGTTTCTCCAGCAGTACCTGTTGACTTCTTGCTGACACACAGCAAATCAATCAAGCAGCAAGGCCTGCTTGCTTCCTTCCTTCTCAACCACTCCCTTGCCCATACCTGCATCTCCTCTCTTGCCCCAACCCACAGAGCCCAGCTCAACTCATTCACCTCATTATTCATCCACCTCATCACCCGCACATCTTCTCTTCCACTACTCCCCCCAATCCTTCCCACCCCCCAGTCTGGCATTGAATACAGTCCCTTCTCTCTCTTCAGATTTTGGAATCTCAAGGTTCTAGCTCAAGGGAAGGAGGGAGAAAAGGGAAATTATGTGCTAAGCATTTTGCCTACATTCTTTCCTCCAGTGGCTCAGAGATAGCCAAGGGGGCTTCAGGGGGAGGACTTGGAGGAGGAAGAAATGGCTCAGGAGCTCACGGTGACCTGTGGGGCTCAGGGCTTGGGGAGGTCTAAGGCAGAAGCGGTGATGTGAGGGATAGAATGACATCATGGATCATGTGGGATGGAGTCTCAGTGGAGCTGGGGTCCTAGACCCAGGTCTATGGGTCTGTGGACAAGACCAGTCACTCTACCTATTTCAAATTCAGATTTTTTCTGAACCTGAGAGCTAGGAGGTAAAAGATGGAACTTTCACACCAAAGTAGACAATTTTATGACCCCCCTCAGCTCTATCAGGCATACGTCTTCATCAGATACAGAGGAGTTTGCCATTAAAGGAAGGGCAACCCCCCAGCATGGCTAAAACAGCACCTGCCACTAGGCTTGTAGACAACTGGAACTGGATATGAGGGAAACTGAGTCACCAGCACCACCTGTGTCCTAGCACAGTGGCGGGGGGGGGCAGGAAAGCAGGATGAGGAGAGATAGAATCTGGACCTTCCTTGGCCCTGCCTGCCCTTTGTCCTGGCTAATGCCATGCACCCCTCCCTTCTTTTGCAGAGAAGCCACGGATGAACAACATCCTGACATCGGCCACGGAGCCCTATGACCTCTCTTTCTCCCGCTCCTTCCAGAACTTGGCCCACCTACCCCCATCCTATGAGTCAGCAGTGAAGACCCACCCCAGCAAATACTCATCCCTGAAGAGGCTAAGTAAGTGGGGTTTCCTGAGCTTGGGCTTTGCCTCTGGGCCCTCTGTGGCATCATCCTATATTTTTCTCTCCTGCTCTGCACCTGAGAGGACAGACGTGGAGTGCTGAGAATAAAGAATGAGGTATAGCTTAGAAGAAGAGGATGGGAAGCCCCTGTGTTTGTTCTTTATGGTGGCCTGAATCCCTCTGCCCACAGATAGAATAGAAGCCACAGAATCTTGGATCCACTTTCCCATAGGACAGAGGCCACAGAATCCTCAGATCTACTTTCCCATAGGATAGAGGCCACAGAACCCTTGGATCCACTTTCCCATAGGACAGAGGCCATGGAATTCTCAAATCTACTTTTCTGTGAGAGTCAGCACTTCAACTCATATACCCATTTACCTGCAAGAGAAAGCCCTTCTCCAGCCTCAGCCAGCACCTGCCACCTTCAAACAGTGAGCCTTCGTCAAGCTCTAGCTTATCTTGGAGTGGAGGCTACCAGTCCCATAGCTTTCTCTGAGACCATACACACACACACACACACACACACACACACACACACACACACCAGAGACTTCCCTTTGAAGGGCCCAGAAACTAGCTCCCTCCCTTACCCAGTCAACACTGTCTTAAGAACCTGAGATTCCAGACTCCCATGCATGCACCTCATTTCATCGAGTGCATTTTGTGCAGTAACCTCGGCTCTGCCATGTGAATCTAAGAAGACTCTGGACATGGGTGGGTTTGAGACCCATTAAAATGTCAAGAAGGTACATGGCCAGAGAGCTCTTTTTTCCTAGCTTTCTGACCCTTGGACCTTCTGCCTCCATGTCCCCATGGGTCTATTTTAATGACCACCCAACTGCGGGGCTGGGCCTTTGCTTGACGCTACAGGGTAACCTACCCTGATGGAGTTCATCCCGTGGATCTACATCAGCCACTTCCAAGGTGAAATAGTGAATTTCTGTGGCTAGAAGTGGGGGTCCCTGATGATCTGAGGAATCTGATGAATGGTGGGGAAAAGGGAGGCAAGGTTTACCCACCCGTGATCCTCTGGGAAAAGTGTAGAGCAGTCAGCATCTCCACATCCTGCAGAGATTTTGAGGATGGTAGGAAGCCTCATTCCTGAAATTTGGGGCAAAGCAGGCAGGTGTGTGTCTGAGGTAAGTTCAAGGGTATAGCAGTCCGTGTGAGCGTGGGAGGGCCTCCTGGATGGACAGAGGGCAGAGCATTGAATGTGGTCCACAGAGAGGATGGCTCTGGCCTGCTCATATTGTGGGCACAGGTGAAGTAGGTGTAGGCTTGATTCTGTGTGAGTGGGGCTGAGGCCTGTGCAACTGTTTCCTATGCACTGGCTGTTACTCCAGAGGAGGTGTTACTATGTTCCTAAGTTACCAGCTAAGCATTTCCACAAGTGCCTCCTGGTTGGAGCATCTTACTTGACTGTAGCAGGAGTCTGGCTCTGCAACCCAGCTTCCTTGGAGAGAGGCTCCAAATCTCATTGGAAGGCCACCAGCTGCTTCTTGAGTGTTTTAGCTGGAGCCGTTCTGTTTCAGGACCGTGGTATGGTCGACATAGCTCTGGAGCAGGATTTCAGGGGCTCGGCCTTGCCATCAACTCTGCCCTGAGCTCTCTGGGGAGCCTTCTGGGGGCACCTGCATCCCTGGAAACTGAAAGCGACCCTGAGGCAGGGGCATTAGCATTGCCGGGGAGCTGGTGAGAGGTGCAGCCTCTCAGGTCCACTCCAGGCCAGGAGGTCTGAATCGGAATCTGCATTTAAGGAGACCTCTGGGGACTGGTTCTGCACATTTGGTGGAGAAGCACTCCACCTGTCGGGGCTCCAGAGTTGGAGGTTAGTCCTCGTGTCACCTCAACTGACTTCTCTCTCTCTCTCTCTCTCTCTCTCTCTCTCTCCAGCTGACAAGGAAGCTGATGAGTATTACATGAGGAGGCGGCACCTGCCTGACCTGGCCGCCCGTGGCACCCTGCCCCTCAATGTCATCCAGATGTCCCAGCAGAAGCCCTTACCCCGCGAGCGACCCCGCCGGCCCATCCGGGCCATGTCCCAGGACAGGGTTCTGTCCCCAGAGCGGGGCCTGCCCGACGACTTCGGCTTGCCCTACGACCGCATCCTGTCCGACGAGCAGCTGCTGTCCACGGAGCGTCTGCACTCCCAGGACCCGCTGCTGTCCCCGGAGCGGACGGCCTTCCCCGAGCAGTCCCTGTCGCGGGCCATCTCGCACACGGACGTCTTTGTGTCCACGCCCGTGCTGGACCGGTACCGCATGACCAAGATGCACTCCCATCCCAGTGCCTCCAGTAACTCCTATGCCACCCTGGGCAAGAGCCAGACGGCCGCCAAGCGCCAGGCCTTCGCCTCCCGCAGGCACAACACGGTGGAGCAGCTGCACTACATCCCGGGCCACCACACCTGCTACACAGCCAGCAAGACGGAAGTGACCGTGTGACTGGCGGGGCGGGGCGGGGCCGCCGGGGCGGGGGCGGGGCCGCCGGGGAGGGGGCGGGGCCTCCCCTCCGCAGGAGGTGCGGGGGGTGGGCCGCCGCCTCTGCCCAGAAAGCCATACTCCGGGGGACACAGCCCGGTGGCCTGGCACAGCACCCTCGGACCTGGGATCTCGAGCGAGCTCTCTCACTCTTCCGGAAGCATCGAGGGGAGTGAGGAGACCGGCTAGGCCCCAGTCCCACCTCCCCACCGGCCCCAACCACCCCGCCCCCAACACCACTCTCTCCCTTGCAGCCCCATGTCCCCCCCTCCCCACCCACCCCAGGGGGCTCAGCTGCGGGTTCCGTCAGCCTAGAGACCCTGGCCTGACCTCGGTCCGAAGCCGCCTGGGTTTGGACTGGCCAGCAGGTGCAGTCAATGGGCTGACCCAATAGGCTACTTGGTCTCATTCATTTACCTACAACCGCGTCACAGAAATCTAGTGCCTACAAACTGCCTGCTCGCTCTCTCAGAGCCAGGGAGCTGCTGTGTCCATAAGCACAATAACGTTCTCTTCTGCCTGCTGGAAATCTCTGGTCCCCACTGAATGGCCCTTCCTTCGTGGACCCCCTCGGGCCCGCCCCCCTTCCCTGGGCCCCTCCCCCAAGACCCAGGATAGGGAGGGGTTCCCTTTCTTCAGCTGCCTCCCCAATGTTGGGAACCCCGCTCCGGGTCGAGCTGGCTGCCCCACCTGCAGACGCCCCAGCCCCTCCCCCCCCGCCCTTCCCCCCCTCCACAAAGCTCTCTGGGGCTTTGCTCTAGCCCACCCAGAGGAGAGTCACAATGGGGTGCAGGGACTTTTGGGGTGCCCTCCCCGGCAACCTATTTCCACACTTCCTCCAGGCCTCTAGGTCTGAACTGTGACCCGACACTCAGGCCTGCCTTCCCCTCCTTTGCTCTGCTCCCTAGAGGCGTCTGCCCAAGGCCAGAGAGCGGAGGGTGGGGAGGGCCACTGTGATGCCCTGGGCCTCAGGGGTTCGTCATTCCCAACGCCCCAGGCTCTCTGCCTGTCTCCCACTGCACAGGTCAGGCAGGCTGAGGCAGAGGCTTCTAGAGAGGGTGGCTCAGGCCCAGCTGAGGAGGACCCCGGGGCAGTGGTCCTGCGCCTTGCCCATCCCTCTCTCCCCACCACTGCCCACCTGCTTGGCTCCTTCTCTGTTCAATGCTCGCTCTCTCTGCCTCCTCCCCCCTGCATTTCCATTACTCAGACCAGTGCCTCCTCTGGAACAAAGCAACAGAGACCCATTAGCAAACACAGATAGTGGTACTTACTCCAGGCTATGGGTCTAGGGGTTAACTGGGCAGCTCCCCATCCCTCCCCTGCAGGGGGCACTTGGGCACCAGGCAGATCCAAGCCTTCAGCTCTGTCGGGAGGCCACCCCTGCCAGCCCACCTCAGCCTCTTCTCTGCCTCTAACCTGGGCAGTGGGCAGTGGGCAGGGTGTAACAGCCCCCTGGTTAGTGAACAGTGAGCTAAGCAGCATCCACCTCCCCAAGACCAGAGCCTGGGGGGAGAGAAGGGGCTCCCCCATTCTCAGGGCCAGGGCACTTCCTTGGGCTGGGGCTAGGGGAATCAGCCCTAGACTGTTGGGTAAAAGGTATGATACAAAAAAAAAAAAAAATTGTGACTGTCACCACACTCAGACTCCAAGCAATGACCGTAACCTGGGATTTTAGGTTCCCCTGGTTCTGCATACGGCATGTATGGTCCTTTAAAAAGGAGGTCAAGGAAGGGGGAACGCCCCAGTGTCAGCCCTGGGAATTTTTAATCTCACCAAGTCTACAATCCACAGAAAACTCAATCGACTGAGTCCTCTAACTTATTTCAAGAATTCCAAAGCTCTTGTCTCCCCCTCAAGGCTCATCACGAGGGGATTAAGCTGGGGGTGACAGACACATATCTCAGCTTCTGCCCTGGGATAGCACTGGAACCGGGAGGCTGTGAGGACAGTGATCACTCTGCTTTCCTCCTCTACAAACACATAAACCTTCTCAAGGGCTGGTCCCCAAGGGTTTATGAGAGTTTGGAAACCAATCTACACGGAGCAGTTGGCCACTCCCGGAAACAAGGTGTGTCTCTCACAGCTGGTCCCCCCCCAAACCCTATGCCCTCCAATCCAGCCTCCCCTCGAAGGCTGCCTGTTGGTACGGAGGGGAAAGGGTGACAATCCCCTCCCCAGGTGTCTGCACACACATACACCGTGAACCACAAACCCGATCTCACCCCGAGGTCTGAAGCATCTTCTTGGCACCAAGTTCTCCAGGCGTCAGCATGATGCTTCTCTACTGCCCTCTCTGTCTGTCTGTCGGTCTGTCTGTCTCAGGGGTTGTCTGATAGGTTGATTCCAAAGTGTTTCCCATCTCAGCCTTATTGTCGTCCAGTTTAAAACCTCTGGTGTCAGTCAGATCAGAAAATTCTACCCAATGCTTAAATGCTTACTTTGTTTAAATGATTCTTCTGCTTCACACTTGGGGAAGGAAGGAAGAAGGATGGAAGGAAGGAAGCAAGGAAGGAAAAAAATGAAGTCTACAAACATGCTCTAATGCAATTCTTCATTTCAAAACCCATAAAATTATGTCTCAATAGGGATACAGAAATATCTCATTTGTTCAGTTGTCCCGCCCACGCTCAGAGAACAAGCAAAGCCACATGACCAGACAAGTTCACACAGTGAAGAAGAGAAGGTTCTGGGCAGGAATCCAGATATCATGACTCCAAACCCCACCAGGCTGGTGGCCACTAGCACACATAGAGGGGCCACCCCATCCTCACAACGAAAGCCCTCCTTTCCCGGCAAGGGCAGCCCAGGGCCCTGAACTTCCCACTGCTTGTTTCGCTCTTTCTGTGTGTCTCCACTGCTCTGATGAGAATGGATGGGGCTCTACACAGGCCCTCTCCTCCCCTGAAGGATCTCATGGGTCTCCTCACGGGTCTCCTCCTCTGATGGCAGCGAAGACCTCCCAATCTCTCATGCCCCTCCACCTTCCCTGTCTTACTTCTTCCAGTTAACTCTTGGCTTCTTAAGTTCATAAGTCACAAAGGCTTTCCCAGGAATTCCTTTATCCCCCCTAGCTGGGGTTCTACCCTTGGGGCTTCCCAGCGTCTTGGATGATGGGTCTGCCTTCTAGAAAGTTCCAGAGTTTCCCTTAATCCTAACTTCTCCTCTGTTTCCACTCTCACACCCAGAAACTCTTGTTTTAACCTTAATCTTCTATGCCGGTTCAGTCTTTCCTTCTCTCATCTCCCTGGCCCTGTCCTCTTCCTCCACGTACACCTTCCATCTCTAATTTGTTTTTCTCTATCCTGCTATAGTCCATAATTCTAAAACTTAGAGTCCTCAGTGAAAACAAGCAAAAAAGGAGACATTCCTCAAGACTTCTGCTTGCCTCCTTAGTTTATCCTTGACCTCCTGTCCCTATAAGATGATGCCTGGGCCATGCAGCCAAGAGCTCTACCCCTCTGATCTTTGGGAGAGTAGGGAGAGAAGCTGGCCTGTCAGAGATGTCATGGTTGGAAGGTCAGCTTTGGTCCCTGCAGCTGGCAAGTCCCCTGAAGCTCCTGCCCAACCTGCCATGAGCCCAAAGGCTCCTGCTCTGGCCAAAGATTCATATCCTTGATGGCTCTCGACCACTGTGCCACCTTGCTTACGCGTGTCCTGCTTGTGTGTATCACAGATTTCCCCTTTGTGTCAAAAGATGGGAGAGCATCATGACTCTCCAAGCATGGAGAAATATCCATTCCAACCGTCCTGCCACCAAACAATCCATTTTTCTTCCCAGATACTTTGCCACCAGCCTTTCATCCTCAGATTCCATCCACAGGCAACCGTGGATTTGACCCAAGGTCATCTGAAGGGGCTTCTGATGACCTGGACCCTAGCAGCACCTGCTCTGAGAAGGGTTGACATGTTACCTCCCACAGACATTCCTCCACCATCCTCCCCAAAACTGGGAAATTTTGCTCTGGAGTATTTTCAAGGAAGCTTGTCGGGTTTTAATGAAGTATTTTTCAGGGTTCAAATGTTATTTTTTATAAATGCAGCATTTTAGTGACAGATTCAATATGAAAGATATGTCTTCCTGGGCTCTATATTTAATTTCAGAAGGCAGCATATTACAGGAGGAAAAAGCACAGGGCTGAGGCTCTTGGAGACATGGCTTTGGCCCTGGCTTTGTCTCCATCTTGCCGTGTGACCAAGGATGAGTCACGATCTCTCTCAGTGCCTCAGTTTCTCATCCGTAAAACGAGGGGCTTTGACTAGATGAGCGCTGACGCTTCATCCAGCTCTTATATTCTAGGGCCTTCATTCCACATTGGCACCCCCTTCTTTTCTTCACATTTCTCCCCACCGCAACTGAGCTGCACAAATCTCATTATGCCTGCCCCATGGTGGCATCCTCAGATGCTCTAGGCAGTCACCAGACTCCTCACTAGAGCCTGAGGTGGGATCCATGGTCTCAGCCACCCAGGATGCCCTCATATCTGCAAGTGGAAGGGCCTACCCATTCAGTAGGTTACCAACAGTGTTCTTCATGAAAGCCCTCTCACAGAGACACGTCTAATTCATCCTGGGTGTCTGTGTCATTAGGGAATTCTGAGTTGGAAGTGTTCATTTTAATGTGGTCCTTGAAGCTGGAGGGAGGCGGTTCTGATTTCAGAGAGAGGACAGGCTGGAGGAGAAGGGTCCAGAGCATGGCCCATAGGAGTGTAAAGTCTGTATTTGAGGACAGCTTGGAAATGCATGTCAAGCCACAGAGGAGAATACATGGCAAAAGCTCTGTGTTCAAATGGATGTTACTCTATCTCACTCCAGAACCTGTGTCCTGAAGACGGAGTCTGGACACCAGGCTCCATCCCAACTGGAGGAGGGGGAGGCGTCAACCCCTGGGCTGCTAGGAGGTGGACACTCACCCCAGGCTAGGAGTTTTCTAGTCCCTCCTCATGACACTACCGTCCTCCTGGTGA